GTCTTTCGGGATCTGCCGTCGTACGCGCCGCCCTCCAGGGCGCTCTTCACCCCACCCCTGCCGCCAGAGTATCTGCACCCGTTCGCCGACAAGCCCACGCTGCGAGGTACCAACTCGGACGTGCACCCCGGTAACAGGAGGCCGGTACCGCCGCCGAGCTTGACGCCGGCGCACGAACGGATACCCATCCGACCGCCGGATCTACCTCAGAGTCCCTCTCAAGTGCCCGAGAGGCATCATTCTCATTCGAGGAACAAGTCGGCAAGCGTGCCCGACAGCAGAGAGCAGAGGCCCGCGGAATCCGGTGAGGTCGATCGGAAGAATGGCACAAACGACCCTTCGTTCGTGACCCTTCATTACCCCAGTATTTCTAGGATCTTGTCTGGCAGCAACGGCAGGAAACAAGATATCCCCGACATATTGTTGAAGCCCCTAGCCACGAAAAGTCCGTTGCTGCCGAATATTCACCTCGCCCCAACGACCGACAAAACGACGTCGTCGCCAAGCACCATGACGCCGAAGGCGTCCGGCAGTACCACGGATCCCTCGAGGATCGCCGTCACGCAGCCGACGATCTTCAACCTACCGAACACTGGCCGGCAAGACGACGACGGCTATCACGGCCTGAGGAACGAACACGGCCTGAAGACTGACAGCATCGAGATAGTGGACACGGAGAGGCTGCCGTATCCGCAGGCGCAGCCGCCGGCGCCAACGCCGAAGCGACCGGCGAGCGCCGACGACGACGACGACGACGACCGTCTGATACCGCACGTCGACACGCATCCCCTCGAGTCCACGTGGCGGATCGCCTGGTCGCTGCACGTATACGTCGCGGCGATTATGTTCACGCTCATGGCCTTGTATTCGATCTACAAGATCGTGCGTTTCAACGAGGCAACGAATCTACTCACGCAATCGTACTTCCTAGCCGTTCACCTGCTGCTAACCACAATCTGCACTTTGAGGTGTTTCCACCTCTTCTACGACGCCTACAATCTCGGACACTCGCTGCCGGAGTCGTTGTCCAGGGTGCTGATGTACCTGCCGGCACCGCTCCTGTCCACGGCGTTCGCCACTCTGATGTTGTACCTCGCCCGGTGCTCGGAAGCGCCCTCGCTTAACAACAGCATCGTCTCGCCTATCACGCTCGTACTTTCGTCCACGGTGCACATTGTGCTGTGCGTGTCCCTGCACGTGTCCGCGCACATGCTCGGCTACCAGGACGAGGCGAAAATACTGCCGCTCATCTGTCAGTGCATCTACATCATCGTCTGCGTCACCCTGGGTCTGTGCTACATGTACGTGTACCGGGTGGTGCGTTCGCAGATTCACATGGCCAGCAATAAGGCGGCCGGCGCGAATCATATGATGGGCGCCGATCCTACCACGGTGGCTCTCAGCACTGCCATCACCACCACTATCGCCACCGCTCTGTTGTTCATCCTCATGGGCTTCGTGCAGCTCTACGGCATATTCGGCGTTCAGGAACGTCCGCAGCAGTATCCGTGGCTTTGGTGGGGCTGGCAGTTCTCCGTCAGATTGCTAGAGCTATCCGTCTGTGGTCTCTTAGCCTGGGTCGCCAGCCTGTCCCAGTATCCGTTGCGCGAGAAACAGATGCAGCAACACTCGGCACACTCGGGCTTCGCCCTGTTCCCCTGCGGCAGTTCCACCTCCACGGAAAACATGGACGACGTACTCTACCCCGCCATATGTAGCACCAACCAAGCGATTCAAAATTATACCATGAGAACGGGAAAGCAAGTCTACGACGATAGTTTTCCACTGAACACTTTGCCCGAGCATTTGAACATATCAGGTAAAAGAATTGTAATATCGCGTTACATTTTGCATTAGCAATCTATTTCGCAATTGAATTGTGTAGAATTTACTTCTCAATCTAAAGAAACTGATATTATATTAGTTGTTTAGTCAGATTATTTAATATAACTTTTAATTTACGAAAACTAATATTTATTTTCGTTGCGCAGGTACCTTTGAGAGACATTCCATTCGCAAGTCAGGTACGATGGGTCACTTTCCTCACGAAGGTCGGGGTTCCTTAAGTCGCCACGGTAACGGCATACAGACCCTAAGGAACTCGGAGACTCGTGGGAGGCATACGCCTGTTCAAGGCCTACACGAACAACCTCCGACCAGCGGCTCGACGATGCTAGTCGCCGAGGACGGCTTCGTTAGGTTCCGGAGTCTTGGTGCGGAGGAGGACGAGCTGTCCGACACACAGAGCATGGTCGGCACTCACGGCAGGGGAAGCTCGCTCGCCGGTAGCGTTAGGTACAACGCGAGGCATCCCACGGTACAGCATCAGCATCCCCATCAGCACCAGCACTCGCTGCAGCACTCGCATCCGAGTCAGCATCAAACCCACCACCAACTTTACAACAACACATAAAGGCTGTGCCAACGCGATGACTAGAACGTGATTCTTGTTGACTCGGTAGGTGTAACGAGAAATAGAATGTCAATTGGATATTATTTTAATGCATTAACCCGCGTTTTATTGTATTATTTTTTTTAATTATAAATTTATTGATTAATTTTCTTGTAAAGAAAATATTGAGACGCTAATATCATAATATTAATTGACGCGTGTCCAAAGAACTTCTCAATATATATAATAAATAAAGTTCGATGTATATAATTAATAAAATTATTTTGTCATTTATCATTCGTCTTCGCGAGTGATGTAATATAATCGATGTTCTTTTGTTGCAGACGTAACGATCGTCGTCGATGAAACATAGGATATATCGACACCCGCGAGAATCGTCGCCCTCGCAAACTTCGGTCTAAACTAATTTTATCTCGTACTCTATGTAAGATATGTCCTGTGTATAGACAAACCTAATTGCCATTCCTGCTCTCCCGCTTCGCATCGACGTCCGAGCCAAGCCTCTGCCGTACGATATCTATACATATTTATTTTGATCCTCGATAAGCGAGTAAAAGTATACGGCGAACTCGTTTGGGGTTCCTCTACCTATATGTGGGTAGTTCAGGGTATATTGAAACTTGATCTTACATTAGGCACTTGGTACTTATTAAGATTCATGTGATTGAAAAAAAAAAAAATAAAGAAATACTGTGTCTCACTGAAGTATATAGGAAAACGCTTCTATCTCGGTTTTATGTTCACTGTTAGTACCGAACACACGGCTGTGGAACGTATCGGAGAAACAAATGATTTTTAAATCCGTTCTAATTGCCACACAAGGAATTTCGACGTATTTTAGCAAACACTATTTGCTATTTATTCGCTGCCACTTTTTATAGAAGACTTCGACGTGTTTACATTGTCCCAGCAGTTTTTATAAGATGCATTATTTTAACTAGTTGTACGTACGTTCAAGCAGTTTCAGTAACCACCTGTTCGATTGGTACTTGTTCTTCTTTGAATTCACTGTTATGACGGAAAATTCGACATAAAGTCAGCTTTGCGATCAGCAGGAAGTATATTTTTTACAAAAATTATACGCGAGGTCCAAACACAGAACTGGGGAAAACAATTACGATTCTCATTCAGGTATTCCGAGATTAGGATATGATTGTGTCAAGCTGAAAGCGATGTTTGTACAGTCGATGATAATTTATCACTCAGTCCAATTGTACGATTTAGTTAGCGGCTAAGACTAGATTAAGAATTGCGGGTTACGTTAAGTTTAGCCGTTAAGTTAGGCAAGACGCGACTAATGTCAACAGATTTACATTTAATAAATCGAAGAAGAATAAGGAAGACGAAAAAAAAAATACTATTACCGATTTAGAATAGGTGACATAAAGTGCGATTTTAACGTCACACACACACAGGCCAGCATTTTACTTTATTTCTCAGATTCTAAGGTACAAAATAGTACTTTTTACCTTTCACTTCGTATATCGATAGGTCGCAATGTATATGTTTATATATGGACATTGTAAATAAGGTATACGGGCTCGTCGTGAGTGGATCTACTGTTACGATGGAATCCGATTGGATTCTATTCGACACATTGGAATTTATACATCTCTTGGTTGTATAAAGAAAAAGGTGCAAGACTTGTATTTTAATTTATCTCAGAAGCTGTATTTATTATGTGAAACATTCCACAACAAGTGATCAGTGTGAGTGCGCGATCGATTTGTGTGGGATTTTATTGCAATTATAAATTTAGGCGCTAAACGAAATGGAACAAATGTAAATAAAAGCTTTTTTGCGAAGTCTTACGTCTGTCTTACTATCGAATGAGATTTTAGTCATTCTAGTTGCATTGGATGTACGTAAAACATACTCTTGATTTTTACATTTTTACAAAGAACGAATTTTAGTTGGAATATGCCTTCACAAAGTTGTTGTGTTCACGATATTATTAATTTATTTCGGGATAGTATAATTTAGATCAATTTTACAAAAGTGCTGTCAGAGTTTCTAATTTGACACGCATTACGCAAAAATGTTCCCGAATTTAGGTTTCCTATAAACAAATTTTATATTGTAATATATAAATATAATATGTTAGTTATGTACGCATATTTATATGATTTTATTTTATTGTACCATTTCTTTCCATTTTCATTCTCCGTTTCAATTTTTAATTTTTTTATGCAAAAATATTTTGTTTTCAGAAAATATTGACATTATTTTTTATATTTTAATATCATGAGACAATGAACAACGATAATGATATCATAATAATTTCTGTTTCTTTCGAAATAATCTATTAGAATTGGATTTTGGTAAATATATTGTATGAAAAATTTACATTTTAGTGAAAAAAAATTTAACCAACGAATTAAATAAACGTAATAATGAATATATTAATACATAAATTACAAATATAACTCAATAAATTAAATATATTTCGTGGACTTTTCTGCCAGCAGCAGGCATTTCGTAATAAATAACGTTTTCCAATTATCATAAATATCCTACATTTCTACTCTAGGTCACCTAATGCCTCGCGTCTTTATCAAACGCTGATAAAGCGTAATGTAGAAAGATAAGTTATATAAAGCATAGCAGTCTCGTCATTAATGGTAGTCGCAATATAATTCATTACTCCGTAAAATATCAATCTTTTGAATATTAATATAAATAAATATAAAGTAACTTTAAACATACGAGATCTTAGCAAATTGCTCAACGAAAAAAAAGTATGAGTTTGAACAAAAAGTGTGTCACATTAAGCGAAATAAATGACAAGTTTACAGAAGACGTGCTGATAAGTATCCTCTCTAAAGTATGCAATGGGAAAACAGTGCAACTGACAGATTGGAGTTTTAACGAGGGATCTGCTAAAGGCGATAATTATTTGTCAAATGTTTACAAGGGTAAAGTGAATGGCATTATCGATGACGATTCAAAGCAACATGTACAAGCGAATATTGTCGTAAAGTCGATGCCAAAAAATCCTGGAACAAGAAAAACTCTCAGAGTTGCAGACTTCTTCGGTAACGAAATCGCTTTTTATACGCAGGTAACATTCTATAATGTAATGATTTATTTGATTACATGAATTTGAT